CTGTCTCTTCTATATTTCTCCACCCCGTTTGTATCTAATGAGGGGAAAGCCCAATTACCCGGGACATGATAATCATGGCGGTCTCAATTCGCCCAGATCCGACCCCCTGAATCTACCTAGAGCCCGACCCATCATGTTGTACCGCCGCCATGATCGACCACTTCCACCGCCTCCCGGACTCCCTCCTCATCCTCGTCTCTAAACAAACTTATTTTCTGCCACCCGACTCCCTCATCCTCGTTTATGGTAGCCTAGTTTGGTGCTTCTTTGCTTCCCATTAAGCTTCTCGTCGGTTCAATCCCCCTGCTTGTCCCCTTCTATTCTATGTAAGGCATTATAATAGATGTTGGAATACAATGATACTCAGATTTGATTAACATGAATGGAACACTGCGTGATTAAGTTATGGAAGCAAATGTTGAAGTTAACGGACAAATTAGATGTTTATCCTTTTCAATTCACGGGAATGTCTACCAAACCCAGATTTCGAATCGGGGAGAAAGAGTAGGCTAATTGCAGTAAAATCCCAAATGAGTATACATAGGAAAGTTTTACGTTGGTGAAAGTTATTAAATAATTAATTTTATTAAATAATAAATATGATGAAGACAAAGTAGGTGGAATGATGATGTAAAAAATAAATATTAATTTTTTAATTTCCACATCATCTAGTTAACGGTCAAACTTTATAGTTGACTGCCACATAGGACAAATTTAACAAAGTCTAACGTCCGGTGACTAATTGTGAAAAGATTCGTAAAGTTAGTGGCGAATAAGAAAGGAAAGTGATTCGGGTGGCAAATGTGAAAGATTTGTATAATTTGGGTGATCAAACGTGTAATTTAGCCGTTGTTTTACATGTAAAAAAGAGTCAGGTGGATGGACTCTCTCCATATCTATTCACTATAGCTATGGAAGTGCTCACCCAACTCCTACATAAACCACTACCAGCTTAACACATATCTAGCTAGTTCTAGTAAGGGGAGGCTCCTTTTGGGTTTCCTAGGTCCATAAGTATAGGTTGAATGATCGATCTTTTTGTAACACTGCAAATATTCTAGCTAGGATCCTGGTTATGGAAGAAATTGTTGAGGGCTAGGCCTTGGTTTCAATACAGAATGCTAAGTGAGGGGAATCAGGTTACTTGGGAAGGAAAAATTATACAAATTTTTTCCTGTGAAGCAAATCTGGAACTCCATTAGACTCAGGGAAGACATAGAGCATTGGTATCCTATTATATGGGGGGAATATGTCTTGTCTCGACATAGATTCCTAAGTTGGTTTGTTATCCTCAATCGAATTACCACAAAGGATAACCTAATGGCATGAAATTGTGTAGCTTCTGCTAGTTGTGGTTTTTGCAATGTTAAGATGAGACCAGACATCACCTTTTCTGTCGATGTCTTTACTCGAGAGAAGTTTTTGTTGCCGTAATGGCTCCTGTCAGCTGGTCAAGCGATTGGGAAGCTATGCTAAGCCAAGTTTGTCAAATGGTGCAAAAAGATGGGGCTGATAGTGGCTTATTGCTGTGATTTAGAAAGAAAGATGTGATAGAGTATTTGCTAACCAACAACAGAAATTACCGGAAAACATTAAGTTTCTTTATAATTTTCTTTGTAAAATTGATAGAAAATGAATAAGATTTGAGGTCTAAGAGATAATTATAATATAATAGGGATATGGATGAACGGAGTGTTAAAGTGAATGAGTCTAGAATATTGTTATAATACATATTCAGGTAGGTGTGGTTCAGATACTTAAAATACTAAAACCGCATCAAACCCATTACCCTCTTTGTCGGGTACGAGAAAAATTTACCGGAAAATAATATCGGTTAGATTTTTTCCGAAAAAGTTTATTCAAATTCAGTTGGATACCAACTGTGATAAGTTATTTTGCCATTCCTAAATCTGCTTGTTCAAAAAATTTCAAAATCTAAATTAAAACAAAGAAGCATTTAAAAAAATAAATTAAAAATTACTATCTCATATATATCTAACCCAAGGTGGTCAATTCGGTTTAGCCCGTTGGCCTGGTTGAGCAAGTGGGTTGAAGGTTAATGGTCTGACCGCTTTAGCTCGGATATATGAAAACACCATTATATTGTTCATACATTTATAAATTATATCGAATCTGATCAAATATACGAATAATAACATATAACACTACACCAAAATAACATGTCGTACTTGTATCCAACATATAGTGAAAATTTACACACTAAGTAATAACATATAACACTACACCAATAATCAAATGATCAACTTAGAATTCTAAAGATAGGGTTAGGCAAAGAGAAAAACCGAAAAATAGACGCATTTTACAAACCAAATGAAAAAATAACACGTGTGACCTCCAATTTGATAACCTTACAGCGGCCAGCGGGTCAACCCGACCAGTGTATACAGTCAATTTTTCTCACCGAATCAGGGTTAAAAGGGATCAATAGACGGTTTGACTGGCGGACTCAAAACCTTGGGATTTTTCCAGAAATAGCATCTTTAAAAAAAATTACAAAAATAGCACCCATCCGTAAAAATTTACACTAATAGCACCCTTTTTAATAGAACGCACCTTGTAGATGCGTTTTACATATAAATCGCACCGTAAGAGTGCGTTTTACAAAAGATCGCACTGGTAAGGTGCGTTCCCATTATCTGGACTCAAATCGCACTTTAGCCAAGCGATTTACCTCTGACCTACTGAAATCGCATGGCCGAGGTGCGATTTTATGTCTGACCTATTAAAATCGCATGGCCGAGGTGCGATTTGTTTCTGCCAGACAAAATCGCACCATGAGGATGCGATTTTAACATACAAACCGCACCTTGAAGGTGCGGTTTTGGTCAATCAATTTCCGACATGCCATGCAGACGTAACAGACGTGGGTCTGCATGAGCCTGCATGGCAGACGAAAATCGCACCTCTAAGGTGCGGTTTTCATCAATGATTTTGCCTATAAAAGGCCTCCCGGACAACCACTTCTCTTCACACCTCTCCTTCTCCCTTCCCTTTTCAATTTTCTGTTGTAGCTCGGCGGGTTTTGAGGAAAAAACCTAAGAAATGTTTTCTGATGGCAGATCGGACTTTGCCGCAACCAACAGACCACTATTTCCTACGCTTTTGGGAGGGGGAGGGTTTAGAGAGATAAAACCTAGAAAGAGAAGGAAGAATGGGTTGTGGTGTGAAGAAATGAGAGGGGAAGGGGGTATTTATACCCATCAGATCGCAGGCTCCAGGGGCGAGGCGGTAATTTTGCCCTCGTGCGGATCACACTCTTCCAATGCGATTTGCGCTTCCCTAGGCGCGGATTGCACCCTTCCGATGCGATTTGTGCTTCCTTGGGCGTGGATTGCTCCGCTGGCGTGCGATCTGGGATCCTCGGCGCGGATCGCTCCGCTGGCATGCGCTGAGCCGTCGGATCGTCCCTCAATCCGACGATCTTGAAGATCGTTCCGCGTCCTCCCCAAATCGCATCTGTTTGGTGCGTTTTATTTTATGGATTTCACCCCTCTGATGCGTTTTACATGTAGATCGCATCTGTTTGGTGCGTTTTACATTTAAAACGCATCTTAGGGGTGCGTTCCAAAAAAATTGGTGCTAGTTTTGTAATTTTTTTTTATATGAGTGCTATTTTTGTAATTTTTTTAAAGGTGCTATTATTGGAAAAATCCCAAAACCTTAACCACACTGAAAATAACAAATATATAATCGAGGTAATGTATCGATCGGATAGTCGAGATAGGGAAGAAGAAGAGCATAGACCAAGTTACTAGAAGCCTTGTAAAGTAATTGAGCTGACCCCCGACCGGCGACCACATACCGAGTCACCCACCTACCTGAAAAAGAAAAACAAGTTCCTAAAGTCTAGGGGCATGTGGACAGTATCCTAGAATGTAGTGTCCAGTAGTGTAATTCGCCCTCACGCGTTTTGATTCTTTGTTTACTTTTTCTTCCTTGAAGTTGTAACCGATTATTTCGTATATACTGAAACATCTCTTGTCATCTCACTCCCTGTCTTTTTCGTCTCTTTCTCTCTCTCAAGTCTAAAGTGTAGCCTATCTTTCTCCCAAACCGAAGCCAAAATAAATAAACACAGCGAAGTTCTCAACGAAGACTTTTCCTCAAAGCTACAAGGATCGCCGTCGTTCGCCCGGCCCCCTTCTCTCATTTCTGCCGATCGCCGTGATAAGGTAGCTTTCCCGTTTCCTTTCCTCCCTCTCCAGTCCCAACCTACGATTTTGGGTTATTCCATTTTTGCTTTTGGCGCGGGAGTTTCCTTTTCGTTTGCCTGCCTGAGTTCGATTTTTAGGGTTGTGGGTGGTGCGGAATGGGGATTTTATTGCGCGGTTTGGCGTACACACAGTTCATTCTATTTTCCTGGACTGGGTATTTTATGGTCGTCTTATGGAAATGAAGCGAGAAGAGCGGTGGCAAGACGGGGATTACTTGATTGATTGAGGGCTTGATGAGTTAGGATTTCTCTGTTGTCTCCATCTGGGATTTTGTCTGATTGATAATAGGAATTGAAGAGGAGTTACTTAATTGATTAGCTGCAATTCATCTTTTAACGTACTTCATTTTCATTTTCTTTCGTTTCTCCACCGGAAAAAGTTGTATCTTTTTCTATTATGCTTGAGAATTAACGATGTCTGAACTCATCTTGGACTGCAGCTCTATATTCTTCGTTTCGACTTCTTATGTTACTTCAGCTTTGATTTCTATGTATTGGGTGCCGTTGTTTACGGGGCTCTCAGATCTTCTCTATTACTCCGTTACTTTTGGACGTTTTTAAGTCCAAATGTAGATACCAGTTTGTGTTTGTTTGTTAATGTATATAATACTTTGTTAGCAGGATGAACAAAAGCTGTGATGATCGATATTATTTTGTAAAATGAACAGGAAGAACCTGCTTAACTTAAGCTTTTAACACTCTCGAGTTCTCATCTTTGTGTCTCATATATCTGTTATGGTTTATCAGGAGTTCCATACAGAAACTAATGAGTGATCATCTAGATTCTGGTGCTAACCGGAATATAACGCCTGAAAATTCACAACCAACACTAGGTGCTGATATACTTCCGCCTTCTGGGGGTTCTTCTTCTCAGCCTGTTGATAAATCCACTTGCTTTATTGATATGGAGCGAGTTGGAGAACATGATGGTTGCGATGAAAAGGAGCCACTTATTCAGACAGTGGAATGCCGAATTTGCCAGGAGGAAGATAGCCTGGTGAATTTGGAGGTTCCCTGTGCTTGTAGCGGCAGTTTGAAGGTAATTCTGCTTTCCATGTTGTTTAGGTGTTTTCAGGAAATTCAAAATTTCTATATTAAGAATTATTGGATTTGAAACCTGGGATGTCCATCCAATGAATGGGGGTGTTGTATGTGTTTCGACCTGGTAATTCATTAATCATTCTTGACCAAAAAGTTGTTTTCTTATGTACTTACATATTAGATCGTTCGTTGTATATTTCTCTATGAATGGATTGCAGAGCTTACATGTTTTCCTTTTCCAGTATGCTCATAGGAAATGTGTTCAGCGATGGTGCAATGAAAAGGGAGACATCATTTGTGAGATATGTCACAAGGTAAGGAATTTGAGTTTAAGGAGCATATTATTCATGCTGCATGGGCCTGCAACAAGATGTCATCAAATCATGGACTTTTACCTCGTTTAGTGTATTGATTCTATACAACAAAAAGGGGATTATTTTTGTTAACTGGATCATATTGAGGACACACTTTCTAAAGCGAATTCAATAGATTTCTGCTCATTCTTGCTAACTTCCTGTCGTGTCCTTGAAATTTATCTTGTGAGAAAATTTAAATTTGCTTTATTGTTTTCTTAGCCTGTTTCAGTTGTTGACTAAAATGCATAGTTTACCTAAACTGTATGCTGCAATATTGATTCTATCGCTTTTCGTAAGAAGCTGTTATATACTGAAAAAGTGAAGCCTTGATTATTCATTTATTCTAGTTGTCTAAGTAATCCGAAACAGTGATCTGATGGGTGTGGTGAGAAGTAGAATTAATACGTGTCGATTGCGTTGTTTTGGTTAAAAGTGGGTGAATGTATAATCCTTGCAGGTTACAAAGTGTTCATGAGTATCATTACTTTTGCCCGAGTTGTGCAAGATGGATTTGGGAGTGGAAATTATATAAATCATTCGGACTTCTAATCAGTTTTCCTTGTGTTACAGCCTTACCAGCCTGGATATACTGCCCCACCACCACCACTGCAGCCAGAAGACACTGCAATCGATATAGGGTAAGCTCTGCTCATGGAGGTTTCGTCTTTTTGTGAAGAAATTGTGTGAATATATGTATCTAGGCTCTTCCAGTCTCAACCTTGTCATGTCATTTTGGGATCTGTACCATGTTTTTCTGTCAATTGACTCAAGATGTCTCAATACCATGGTTCAAAAACGCATGCTTAAAGTTACGCTAGGCAACGCCAAAATGCCTCGCCTAGGGGTTCGTCTCTGAATTAGATATTGGAAACATGTCGACAGAGTAAGGCAACACTTAGGTGTCTCGCAGGTATAATTACATGGAGATAGATAGTCAATATAAAACTGGGATTTAGGATCATCTACAAACTAAATCTTCTTTATCAATATTTTTTTTATAGCTCAAGAACTTTGTGAGCATTTGAGCTATTATCTACAAATTTATGATCTACGAATGTGACTAATTTTATTATTGTTAGGTGTTAAGTAAGTTATTAATCATTTTAACTGATGTGTGAAAGTGTTGTGAATTTTTATTTCATTCATCATGTAGTACAAATTGTTATTTTTCTTCCAACACCTAAGCGAGCTAGGCACTAGGCAAGGCCCCAACGCCCGTCTTACGCCTACTATTTTTTTGAACCTTGCTTAATACTGTGGTCCATAAGCTCTTCTTATCTGTTTGCTTTTTCTTCATTTTCTTAATGAATTGCTACATTTCTATTTCTAGCAGTGAAGGTTGGACTATTGCTGGCACTCCATTGGATCTGCGTGATCCCCGAATTTTGGCAATGGCTGCTGCTGAACGCCATTATCTAGAGGCTGAGTACGATGAGTATGCTGATAGTAGTGCGAATGGGGCTGCATTTTGTCGATCTGCTGCTCTAATTGTAAGTCGTCAATGTCTTCAGGGTCATTCCATCTTTCAGAAGACAGGAATGTGGGATCTCTTGACTTGATTAGTTTATTATTAACCGTTTTCTTGAAGAATCTTTACCTTGAATATCCTGCTATCTGATATGTTACATGCCAAATTGGTTTGCTTACATTTCCATAATTACATCCATTTCTTCTCCATTTTCAGTCCCTTCTATGGGGTCTTGATGTAGGACCACAATAGATGGTCAGGTGCAGATTGGGGAGTTTAAGTCCATTTCCTGCCGTGTAGTTTATTCTCTGGGTCATATCCTCATCGAGAGGAAAAAACTTAAAATCTCTGATGTTTGTTTATTGGCGACAAGGAACCTGTTTCAATTTTGGGTGAACCAAGTTCTGAATGTTCCTCTTCTCATTGTTTTTTTGTTGGTCTGTCTTTCCTACCCCTACCAGCTAATGGCTCTTCTACTCTTGAGGCATGCTATGTCCCTAAGCAATTCAGATGATGATGATGATGATGCATCTACATTTTTCTCTGTGAGTATCAATCCGAGGGCAGTGTTATGTTGCATTTATGTTGATTAATGTTGTACACCGGGCTAATGTTTTTTTCTTTCATCTTCTTGAAAATTGGGATTTTACCAGCTTTTCTTGCTTAGAGCTGCTGGGTTTCTTCTGCCATGCTATATCATGGCTTGGGCTATCAGCATTCTTCAACGAAGAAGGCATAGGCAGGTTGGTATTGCAAGTCATTGTTTTCCTTTCTTTCTCTAACTTCTCTGTGAAGATTTACAGCCTTTTTTTTCTTTTGCAAAAGAAAACATGTAAAGTTTGCTGTATAGTGAATCTCACTTAATTTTGTGCTTCACCTGAATCAGGAAGCAGCAGCACTTGCAGCATCAGAAGTTGCCTTCATGATACAGGCAGGCCAGCACCCAGGCTTGCATTTCACAGTAGCTGCTGGTCCCGCATTAACAACTCCTGAAGAAGCAGCACCTCCTCCGCCTCCGAGACATTCAGCTTAATTGATCTAGTAAATTTATTTGTGGTGGTTATGGAAAACATGAGAAGGTTCTGTGATTGTCCGTCCAAGTTGTAGCATACATCTTTAAATATGATCCTTTCCTTTTGAGACACCGCCTATATGTCTCTCCTGTGACTTGACCTGAGCGGGATATGTTTCCTTGACATATGTATTGATGTACATAGATTGATCTGTGATGTATGTCTCCAGCCGCCGTTTGTTTATGCTGCTTTGGGATCTTTATAATGGCAGGGGCTGAGCTGTTGTTTGTTTGAATGATGCCTGTTACGCTAATATGTATAAATAATCTTGCTGTTTTTCGTGCATCAACAACTTGCTTGATTTCTAGGTTGATTGGATACTGAGCTGCAACCTTGCAGATCAGTATATGACAGAGGAACAGCCTGATAGTAGTTTTTGCTTTAGGAAGTGTAGAAGGACGAAGCCTCGACAGCTGCCTTGGCTCTATCGTAGGAGTCCCTCCCGACTATACTATGCCACACGATTTTGACATGTGAGCCAGAGGTGGCAACTGCTCTACGGTGGCGATTCGGTTTTACTCCTTTGTAGCATGATTTTTCTATTATTATTTATGAATTAAGTTGTTTTATTCATCAAGAAAGGGGGCATCAGTGAAAAACCCCCTAACTGGAACCCAATCAATTACAAAAAACCGAATTAATAACAGTCACAAAACCAGAAAAAGCAAAAACCATCGGACTACACTATATTATTGATATAGTCCTCTGAAATGGCAAGTTATACTTGAGGGAAACCATTCCTAAGTAGTAGCAGCAACCCTTTCAACTTCTCAATCAACTGAGGCACAGTCAGCACCTCCCTAGACATAACTCTCCTGCATCGTTCCCTCCAAATCTCAGCCACCACCATCACCAACAGAAGTCTGTCCCGATCAGAAACATGACATTAATTCGAAAAAGAGACACAACAATGGTCAACGAGTCCTCCAGCTAGCTCCCACCATGTTTCTCCTTACAAATACAGTCTGAAGAACACGCTGAGAATAAGAGCATTCAAAATAGAGATGGTCTCGTGATTCTGCCATAGAGGAGCACAGAGGGCATACATTAACTACTAATGCATTCCACCTTTGCACCTTATCCAGAGTGGAAATTCTATTCAGAATGACTAACCAGACTAGCAATTTATCTCTAGGAGTCCCAAAGGATTTCCAGACCAACGAGTACCACTGGACTTTCTCATGCTGAACACGAAGTGACTCCCAGACTTTTTTGACTGAGTATTTCTCCATCACACTATCATCCCAATACACTCCTACCGATCGAATCCTGAGATGTTGAGCAACTTTTGGTCTTATTTTCAAGACTTTTCTCCAAGCCCAGGAGCATGGAATAGAAAGAGGTATATCCCAGATAGAAGTGTAGGTAAGTTGATAGTGCCTTACCCAAGTTGCCCATAAAGAAGAGGAGTTAGAGGAGATAGCCCAGAGGTGTCTGACTAAACATGCCATATTCCAGCTTCGTAGGTCCTTGAAACCTAATCCCCCCTCCTTCTTAGGTCTAGCTACCACCTGCCAGAGGACCTTAGCTCTTTTCCCATCTTCCTCTGCACTCCATAAGAAGTCAGAGCAGGTTTCTCAATCATCCTTAGCACTTTAACTGGAAGTTGAATGATCCCCATCCAATACTGAGTGATGCTAGAAATAACAGCAGAGATGAGCTGCAATTTACCAGCATAAGATAAAGTTTTCACCTTCCAGCCCCTGATTCTAGCAGTTATCTTTTCAACCAAAGCAAGACAGTCTGCATTACTCAATTTCCCTGCAATGAGAGGAATCCCCAGATAACGCACAGGGAGGTGCCCAATAGCAAACCCAGAACTAGAGGAAATAAGAGCATGAACATTAGGGTCCACTCCTCCACAGAAAACTTCACTTTTGCAGGATTACATTTTAACCCAGAGACAATATAGAAAGTGTTTCAGAGTTTCATTTAAAGCACCTTTTATCTCTGCTGTCGCATATCAGCTGTTGAGCATCCAGGATATCTTTAGCTTTCCCCACAGCCTCTGGAGTTCCTTTTGTGAAGACCAGAAGGTCATCAGCAAAACATAGGTGGGAGAGTCCAATTCTGTGTGTTTGTGGGTGAGGAGGGAGAGATTTAACAACATATGCTCTATTTAACATGCAGGATAGAACCTCCATGGCTATGGTGAAGAGATAGGGGGAAAGGGGTCCCCTTGTCTCAACCCCTTCTGAGCAGAAAAATAGCCACAAAGCCCCCATTAAAACAAACACTAAGTTTTATACTCTGCAGACAAATCCTTATCCATTTTATAAACCGAGGAGGAATTTTCATAGCTTCCATAACTGTTTCTAAGTAATTCCAGTCTACACTATCAAAGGCTTTCATCACATCTACTTTGAGGGCACACCTAGGTGAAATGAATTTCCTATTATACAACCTCACCATCTCATGGGCCAGAAGAACATTATCAATGATTAACCTCCCTTTTATAAAAGCTGACTGGTTCTGGCTTATGACAATAGGTTAAACTTCCTTTAGTCTGTTGGCAAGCACCTTAGCTATACATTTATACAGAATGTTGCAACAAGAAATGAGCCTAAATTACTTCATACAATCATCATTTTGTACTTTAGGAATGAGGGCCAGATAGGTGGAGTTTACCTCAGAAAGTAGCTTCCCTGTCCTAAAGAAATCCATGATTGCAGCAGTGAGTTCATCACCCAAAATCTCCCAGTTATGCTGATAAAAGCCAGCTGTGAAGCCATATGGTCCAGGAGATTTTGCTCCATTCATAGAAAATAGAGCCACCCTTATTTCTTCTCTAGAAACTGGATATCAAAGAGGTTCAGCTTGTTCAGGAGCAAGAGAGTTAACCAACAGATGGGATAGCAGTTCACTCTTCACTTTCTTTACATCAGGATTTTTTGTACCCAGCAAATTCTTGTAGAACCTAACCGCTTATTCACTCATTTCCTTTGTATCAGTTAGGGCATTTCCTTCTTCTGAGATGACTTTTTTGATAGTTGATCGAGCCTGACGAGCCTTCACATAGTTATGGAAGAAGGAGGTATTTAGATCCCCAGTTTTGACCCAAAGAAGTCGAGACTTTTGCCTGTAGATAGCTTCTTCTTCTTTTAGAAGTTTGGAGAGCAAAAACTGGCACTCATTTACTCTTTGGAAAGAATCAGAAGAAGGTTGAAGGAGAGCTTCTATCTGCAGGCCTTCAACCTCACACCTTGCAAGTCTTACTCTGTCTGATATTTCTGAATATGAGGATCTATTTAGTTTTTTCAACTGCCTTTTAACCTCTCTCAGTTTCTGACATACTACTAACATAAGAGTCCCTCTGAACTGTTTATTCCAGGCATCTTTAACAATCTGCTTGTACTGAGGGTGAGTTTCCCAGCAACGAAAATACTTGAAAGGTTTTGGCAGAGAGGAAATATGGATGTCTGTGTTCATAAGTAATCCACAGTGATCAGAAAGTCTTGGGGGAAGAAGGGTAACTGCATAGTGGGGAAACACAGTTAACCAACTAGAATTTACCAGCACTCTATCTATCCTCCTAGCAATGGGGTTCCCCTCCTGCTTGTTAGTCCAAGAGAACCAAGGCCCCTCAAATGAACTTTCCTCCAATTCCATACTAACTATCCACTCATCAAAGTCAACCATACTTTGTGAACTAACCGAATTATTTGAAGCTTCATTAACATTGCGTACTGCATTAAAATCACCTAACGCAAGCCAAGGTAAGTTCTCAGGCTTGAGTACAGGATGATGAAACATATTCCTTCTAGTACCTTCATCATTTGAGCCATAGACGAAAGTGATCTTTGCAGTCGTGTCACCCCTAACCACTCCATGTATAAACTGTTATGACTTCTCCAACACAGTAAAATCCAAATCCTTTTTCCAAAAGATCCACAACCCACCCAAAGCTGAGTGCTCATAGTTATGAGCATGCTCCCATCTATCGAACTTAGAATCCACTATCTCTTTAGATTTTCCTTCCTTCACCCGGGTTTCAATGACTCCAAATACATCTACATTTTCTCTACTTACTACCTCCAAAATCTGACCCTGCTTGGCGGTGTGATTAAATCCCCTAATATTCCAAGCAAGTATCTTCATTTCTTAGGTTTTGGTTTAGCAGGCCTACCTGGCCCCTTCTTACCTTGTTTACCTTTACCCTTTCCCCCGCCTTCCAGTGCAGGGAATTCATCCAGATTGTTGAGAACAGGACTACTGACTACAATTTCACCCACTTCAAAAGATCCACCAGCTAAACTCTGATATCTGTTAGCTACAGGAGTGATAGGACCCCCTTCCCCAGCAGATGGAGAGCATGTTTGCCCAACCATAGCTGTCTGCAACTCACTGTCAGTAGGCAACTCCATAGCACTCGACTTTTTCCATTTGGTTAGCACACCCTGCTCAATGGATTTGACCAGGTTTGCTACAGCCAAATTCAATATCTGACAAGCTGATTCGGCAGATTCATGAGCCTTACCTTTTGAAGCAAGAATAGAATCAAGAATCAACTGACTTGCACTTCCAGTAACAGCTTCCACATCCCCAGCCTCTGCACTCACCTTACTTCCCTGACCCTCCTCCAAATCACCCCCCTGCATCTTCACACTTATGCCCAAACACTCTACACTTCTGGCAACCAATTGGCTTATTGCAATATTCCAAGTTCACCAAGAATGATGGCTTGCGATCAGGAGCCAACTTCAGAGTCTGGAAAAGATGAGTCTATAGACATTTCAACACAGACCTTAGGAAACCTCATTCTTCTACCCAGTCTAGTCGATTGATCAAACCACAAAGGTCGGCCCAGCATACTAGCCATACGAGTCAAAATCCTACCAGTGGCAAACTCCACAGGGAGATCTTGAAAGCATATCCAGATAGGAATGGTGGAATCGCAATTTACCGCTCTGATCCCAGCTGACCACTGCCGAAGGAAGCACATATCATTGTTGAAGTGCCATGGACCACTAGTGAAGACCCAATCCGCAGCTTTCGCATTTGAGAATTGGAAGAGGAAAAGCTGCTCGCTAAATCTCGAAACCCTAACTAGGCCCGATTTCCCCCAAAGTCTGTTCGCCCAACTCTGAAGCTGCTTCACAGAAGGGGTGGTGTGGAGAAACTGACCAACGAGGCTATTCTTCCAGCGAGCTTCACCTTCCTGAACAAGCTCTTCCGGGATCCTCAGTCCGCCATCCACGATCTCTGGTTCAATATAAACCAGCCGATTAGCTTCGGCAATGCCGAATAAATCCGCCCAAGACTGACCAATGAAGGACATCGCAAGCTCGGGGAGGAGAAGAAGTGTTCAGGTGAGAAGAGAAAGACAGCCGGAGAGAGGTCCGCCACCGATCAGAGGCTTCGCGCGACGGCAGGAGACCGTCGGCGAACTGGAATCGCTAACGGTCTAGAGAGAGAACTTCTTCTAGAATTCAGGGGTAGTTGGAGTTAACGCATGATATAATAATTGATTTTTGGTATGATTTTTCTTCTATATTCATGATACGATTTTTGTACAATTAGGATACGATTTTAACGCATTTACGTATATACATTTTTGGCATAAATTCATACACGCATGATATAATAATTGATTTTTTAAACATTGACCTATCCACGTTTTTATAGTTGGGGCCTGGGGGTGGTTAATTGGTTATACGTTCTGGAGGGACTAGCAAATTGAGTACTAATACTCTCTAAACTTCACCAAGAAATTCAACTTTATTGTTCCACCGAAGGTAAAAGCTCAAAGATGGATAGCAAAAAGGTCTGAGATGCCTTAAAAAGACTGGAGTGGTTCTGGACTAATTTTCGCAAGATGAAAAAAGGTGTTTGCTTCTCTAGTTGGAGAATTCTCGGCTGCGCTTAGCAGCAGCAACAACAGCATTTATAAGCAAACCCCTGAATCCATCCTTCTCCAGCTCATGTATCCCCGCAATGGTAGTTCCTCCTGGTGACGCCACTTCGTCCTTCAGCTGCCCTGGATGCTTCCCACTTTGACACACCATACTTGCTGCCCCCAACACCTATATGCATATATTATCACAAATGACTATCAAATTTCTATACAGGAAATGAACCAAGTAGTTGAATAAAACTTGTAAGCGGATCCTGTTCAAGTAAATGCTGATTGGAAGCTCAGCTTTGAGAGGCTGTAGATTGAGTTTCTTAGTGAGTGTCTATAGAGTGTTTCTGGGTTTTGTGCTCCGTCTCTTCTGCTTTTTGAAATAGGGAGATTTGTGCAATACTTTTGTGGGCTGGGGATTGCCCACCATTGAGCTTAATAAAATTTTGATTAACTATAAGAAAAACAAAACTTGTAAGCGATATACTGTATGTATCTGACTTACAGTTTGAGATGCTAGACCGAGTGCAAGCTCTCGTGGCAAGCCAGCAGCTACCCCTCCATCAGCCAAAGCTTCTATTGCTATGTACACGTATGCCGGTCCACTACCACTGATCGCATCAGAGTAAACAGAAAACTGGATCAGCTTGTTGGAAAGTGACAGTATTAAAAGAAAAGTTTGAACTTTTACTGCTACATAGATCAATTAATATGCGCTCTTCAGGAAACAAGTTAGACTTTCTGCTACAACAATCAGCCAGTCCAGTCTTTGCTTTAGATAAAAAAAAAAGGTATTATACCTCAGCCCTGTAATTGCATCGAATAGCTTCTCATCAGCTTTCCATATCTTGCCAACAGATCCAAATAACTTGGATATCAGTTCCCCATCTGCCTCAGTCGCAGCTCCACCCAAACTCATTACTAGACAGAAAACAAGCACAGTGAAAAAATAATGTACACAAGATGAATAATACTAAGCCAAAACATCAAGCACTTCTGATGAATGCACATGCACGAAGGATTTTATATATAGTAATAAGAGAGCAAGTAGCCAACAAAGCAGCAAGAGGATCATAGCCTTAAATTCTCAGAAATAGAAACCAAACTTGTACACAAGATGAGGAATACGAAGCCAAAACATCAAGCGAAATAAACAACAAACGACGTAAAGGTCTGTAACTCCTACCGAAGAAGTCACCACCAGAGCAGCAATACAGGAAGACAACGATAATGAAAGTATTTTAACCCAACTAACATAACATGGCATAAAAAAACTCATACAGAACCATAATGTAGTCTAAAATGGAAAACAGTACCTGTTGCTGCCTCTCCCACTGCAGCAGGAGTGTTAGGCATCACCCTAACAAATCTTTCACTTCCTGCCCATGTCTAATGTAAGGAAAGAGATATTTCAGTCCAACAGTCGAAGGTGTACAAATTCAATAGTCATAGTTGAAAATACAGATAAAATAGCATATAATTAGAACTGATGCAGATTGAGCTGAACTAGAACTACATTTCTCAAGGTTTTTTATGACGTGAGGATTGAAACAAAGAACCACATTGCATCTATTGTTATTTTAAGTTTAATGTTTGACGTAAGGCAAACAGCAAATGACAACCTTTTGCAATAGGAATTATTTTAACTTGGTATGGCTCTCAGTGGCCAGTTAACTTCACAAACGTCTTTCTTAATATTGCATCAGGAAGGAAAATGCATCATAAAGACACTGAGATCTCTTGGAAAAGGCGCCCCAAAACCAAACCTGCAAATCTTTTAATTTGACACCAGCAGCAACTGAGACCAATAGTTTTTTCTTCGATAGCAGGGGCTGCAACTGCAACACCACATCCTTAACTGCAATAAGATCAACAAAATCCTATTCACAATCAAGGATATAGCTCTAGAAATAGAACAGGAAAAAATAATCCATAAAATACCAACAGAATCACATATCTCAAGATCCCTAGTGAAATACAATGAAAACAAAAGACATACAGAAACAACTCATTGCTATGTCTGCAAGACCACAGTCTAGTTGTGGACACAAGGTGCAGCCCAGGAGTTGAGTTCTTACAATCCCTTCACAGCACCTCATCTTTCCTTTCGTTGAACTGAGAAAGGATAAAAGGTTTTTCATTTACGTGTTTTATGCATAACATTACTTCAACTTCAGCTTTTCTCTAGATACTTAAGAAAAAAAATCAGGGGACAGCACAATTTTCAACCTTCAATCTAAAAGCATTCTGACAGGCTAGAAAGTCATTGATTTCCACCGGTTATCTGATAAACTGTGCTACAAGCTTCTCAGTATATGCTTCTTAAGGGTTTAGAGGAAATGCATCAGTTTCTGGAAAGTAACAATCTCCTTGGACAAGTTCATTCAGGTAGGTGTGTCACTTAATTATCCATGAGTCGTTTGATGTTGTTAGATTCTGTGAAGTCCAGAGCGATATAACACTGAAGCGATTCCAAAATGAAAAAGCGGGGAAAAACAAGGAAAGGAATTCTGTACCAACTTGGGGCTTCACAGAAAAAATCACCACATCACTATCTTCAACCACCTGTTTCCATAAAATCATATTATCAATTACCATATATGCATAAGAAGGAGGTAATGATGACTAGACATAAAAGCCATCATCAGCACTGCCATGTCAACAAGGGAGGAAAAAATGGAACTAACTGATGCAATCTAATTGTCTAAACATCTGCGGGTTAGTGGCACTTGTACTTCCCTGCACATAGATCAGCATATACAGAAGGGGGAAAAGCATGTATTGAATCAATGAGAAAAGAGAAGCAATTACTTGTTGGTTCTGAGAGAAAACTTTAACACCAAACGACTCAAAGGCAGAGCGGCGAACAGGATTCGAGTGGGCAGTAGAAATGCGGGAAGGGTGGAGGACACCTGACTGCACTACTCCTCTCGCAATGCTCTCAGCCATTTTCCCTGCACCGATGAATCCCAACTTGTATGTGTCGAGTTGAATTGGAGCGATCGTCATGGCAATCACTGATAACTCACACGTGCTAAGTTGCTGCTTCCTGGGGAATACAAAACAAGCCGCCGCAATCTCAGAAATCATGGCTAGAAAGAAAAGCGCAGAGTTAGCTTTTCTTTTTTGACATCTCGTGAATGCAAAACCCTGGTGAGAACCAAATTCAGCCATCGATTTAGAGCGCGCAGAAACAATTTCACAGGGAACCGATCAGAAAACGAAGCCACGTGAATCAAAGAGAAGTGGCCTTCCAAATAAACTGGAAATGACCTGGCGACAAGTGCAAATTCCTGCAACTCCATTCAATCAATTACTAACTGCGTAGTTCCACCCCACAGTGAGTGGGGATAAAAAGCTCAGAATCAGGAATCATGTAATGGATGAAGCTCGCATTTTGTGTGTGACTAGTTTAACGAAGATTTCAATAGAAAGGGAGCATGATCGAAACGAAGCGGGAAACAGGAAACACGTAGGAGAGTAATACCAGGCAGAAGGGAGACAGACAGATTTTGAACGTATACAGGGACGGAAGCACAGCAGCAGAAGACCAGACGGACGGGGGCGACGGCGGCGGCAGTTCTAGTTCCCTACTTTAAGTCTTTAATTAGTCTCCTGGGCTGGAACTTCAAACTGCTTCAAGCCTCGCGATTGTCAACACGTGTTTTCTTTTACAGATAGATAGACTTATAGAGGAGTGGAGAGATCTTTCAACCTCGTTAAAATCTAAGTCCATCTACAATGTGGGTGGTGGAAACGTGGGAAAAGAGGGAAAAGTGGGAAAATTGGTTGGTTTGGTCACGGTGTGGCGGTGGGAAAAGTGGGTAATCAGTTTAGTACTTTTTTGTTAAAATCAATCTATAGTTGATTTTGTCACTTTTTTTCATATAATGATCATTATTATTACGTACTTAGTGATAATTAATTAATACGAACATTTCGATATTTTTTTTAATTTGGAAATATTTTTTTTTCATCACTAATTAAGTATGACATCATTAATTTGGAAAAATGGCCGTTGAAAAATATGGCCGTTAAAAGTGACCGTTGCAAAATATGGTTGTTGGTTAAATCTGTTCGTTGGGGACAAAAACACAACTTTCCAAACAAGCTTTTGCTAAAATCAGGAAAAAAAAATAAAAAAAAGAAAAGAAAGGGTTGTCCTTTCCCATCCTCCACTTCCCCCCACCATTTGTCTCATCTGGTGGGTTTTCCCACCCACTAAACCCACAAAACTCATTTAATTCCATATTCCCCCCCCACATTTTGGTCACATTTCCCCTTTTTACCACAAAACCAACCCACATTGTGGATGGTCTAATGGTATAATTTATCCAGTTTAACGAAGGATAAGATAGTAATTACATATTTAATTTATTTAACACTTAAAAAAAATTGCAGCAGCTCGCGGTATATCTCCAGCCCCTTGTCGGAATTTTTTTTGCCGGCGGCCATTCTTCCTTTCCCGGGGAATCCCAGCAGGTACGCGAGAGAGAAGACCATTCTTCCTTTAATTTTCTGGAGATTTTTTTATCCAGTTTAAAATTTAATGGACCTAATTTATCCAGTTTAATGAAGTATAAGATAGTAATTACATATTTAATTTATTTAACACTTAAAATAAAAAAATTGCAGCAGCCAGCGGGATATCTCCTGCCCCTTGTCGGGATTTTTTTTGCCGGCGGCCATTCTTCCTTTCCCGGGGAATCCCAGCAGGTACGCGAGAGAGAAGGCCATTCTTCCTTTAATTTTTTGGGGATTTTTCCCAGTAGGTAAGAGAGAGAGAGATTTTTTGTTGCCGGAGGTAACTTTTCGGTGACCAGCGACGGAGAAGGATTTTCCGCCGATAGTGTTGGATTTGTTATGTTTGTTGACCTATTTTGTAATGTTCGTATTTAGCTTACCGATTCGTGGAGCGAGAACGAGAGCGGGAGCGAGAGCGCTTATTCCTCGAGAATTATATTTTGAGAGCGCTAAAAAGATGTGTATATTATATTATTTTAATTAATATATTAATAGATATTTTACAAATTAATAGCTCAATAGTTGTGATTGAGAGTTTTACATACGAATCAAAGGGTAAAATACTTCGGGTACCACTAAAGTTTCATAATTGGAGCAGACATACCACTTAAGTTTGAATAGGGCGTCGGGTACCATTAAAGTCACCAAAATGTGCATCCGTCTAGTTTTCCATCCAACCCAAAAATTTAATTACTTTTGGTACCCAAAACTTTTAAAAATCATCAAAAACTATATTCAACAAGTTTTTATATAATATAGAAAATAAAAAACCTTCTAAACATAATATTACTAAAATGACTAATCAAAATTGTTAATAAAATTGATAATTTAGTAAAAATAATAAATAAATATCAAGAAGAAGAATAAATATATAGAATATAATAATAAATATTTAAAATCAATATTAGAAGATCTATTTAAATCGCTAATCCGATAAGAAGTACTATTAAAAATATTTAAAATAGAATCTAATCGATTATCAATACATCAATACCAATGAAGGATAAATGAAACATAGTCAGAAAGAATTAAACATATTACGGTAATTGAAAAAAAAAATTAGAACGAAAATAGAACGAAAGTAACCAAGAAAATTATATAACATCTAGATGATGTACAAGAATTAAATATAACATCCTCAGATTATTTATATCGATATAGAATTCATATGATATATTTGTTTAAGCAAATTATTCAATTATTATAACACATAATGGTAATTTAAAGTACTTATAAGTTATAATGATAATTGATTCTACATTTCCTATTCAAAAATTGGTTTGGTTTCAAAATCTTTAAAAAAAATTCAATTATTAGAAAACAGAATGATAATTTATTTTAAATTTTCTATTCACAAATTAATTTGGTATCAAGTTTTCAAAAGATGATACAAATTAAATAATAAAAAATTGATGTTTTCCATAAGTCAAAATAATTTTTTACAATAAGAAAAGTGGAAGGACCAATTAAGAAATTTAGAAAACAGAATATTCTTGGAATATTCTGTTAATTTTAACGGAATGCACTTAACATTAAACTTAAGTGATACCGGGTGCACAAATAATAGAGTTCAGTGGTACTCGAAATCCTATTCAAACTTAAGTGGTATGTCTGCCCTAATTCTGAAACTTAAGTGGTACCCGAGGTATTTTACCCACGAATCAAACATTCAATAGGAATTTTTTTTAGTTAAATGCATATGCGGCCCCTAAACTATAATGTGTTTTCTATTGAAGTCCCTGAACTATTATTTTTCCTATGGTAGCCCCTGATTTATCAAAATTTTCCTAACGAAATCTCTACCGTTACCAGGCCGTTAAAGTTCCGTTAAATTGGGTCATTAGCTGCTGATTTGGCGCTGACTAAGCACCCAGTCAGCATAAAATTCCCCTAAGTGACCATTTTACCCCCAAATTAATTTAACACACACGCCTATTACAAAAAAAAAACAATATTACCCATAACTCCCATGAACGTTCCATCTTCTGGTTTCGCTATCATACATATCAAACCCTATTTCTTTTATTTCCATCGAGGGTTGCAGCCGCCAAGCTCCAACGGTGGTGAGACGAGCTTCAACAACGCCGGTTCAGCGAGTTCCATGACAACTTGACGATTTCGGACAACGACGTCCAGGTGCGAACACATAGAATTGCGGCTAGCAATAGTCGCCGATCGGGACCATTGACGGCGATCAGTGGCTACAAACATTGGCAAACAAGCTCTAATTAGCGTTGAGGTGGGTTCCCATTCAAATCACTTGTTCAGCACCACCATTCTTTTTTGCTGAATTTTTGAGTAAACTAATGCATAAAATCATTAAACTGATATAGGTAGGATTAAACTCATACATTTATGATGAACTAATGCTTGGCTATTGGAATTCATAGGCTTGTTCATTTGAGATGGAAAAAGGGAACGAGAATATGGGAAAGGGAAAACATGGGATTGAGAATGGTAGAGATGAAGAGGCTACTGGGGGCTTTGAAGAAGTGAATGGAGAAGACCGACAAGAATCTGGCCGAAAGCACCCAGTCTGCCAAGGAACGAGGATACTGCGCTGATTGCTCCTGCAATCGCTCCGGCAAAAGCGGAAGGTAAGCTAGTTGCAGTTTCTTCAGTGTTTGCTTTTATATATTCAATAATTCTGGTTTTATTTTACTCCTATTTGTTGAATGCAGCTACTGAAAATTGTGAGGATAGAAGTGTCGAGAGAGATGAGTTTGCTGATTATTGTGAAGAAGAAGAAGAGGAAAAAGAAGGTGAGTGAATCGACTAAATCTAGCTATATAGTTTATGAATTGTTTATGTATATCACAATTGTTTATGTATCAATCAAAATTAAAGGAGACACAATTTATGTTGTGACGTAGATGATAAAACAGTTTATGGCTTGTTCAACAACAAGAGGCCTTCCGAGGAAATTCCATTTGAAGCATTTGAGTTTGGAAGTGATGCTGAGGATGATGAAGTACAAGAATTGAGGGAGAAGGTACAGACTGTGAATGATAGATTGAAAGAAAGGGATACCCATCGCATACGGTGATAGTCAATTCTACTTCTCAGATTCAGATTTAGATCCAGATTATGAAGAACATGAAAATGAGGGAAGCTCCGAGGGGTTCAATTCTGATGAAGTTGGGAGCTACGAGGACACCGATCTTGAAGATGAAACTGCAGATCATGGTGTTCGGAAGAAATCAAGGTTTCCCCAATATTGTAAGGATACAGACTAACCGTTCTTTGAGCTTGGGATGGTGTTCACTAATATACGCGAGGTAAGAGCAGCAGCGAACAAGCATTCCATAACAGAATGCAAGGATCTGAAGTTTAAAAAGAATGAGGCTAAGCGATTCAGAGCAGTATGTAGGTTCAAAGGGTGTCAGTTTTTGTTCTTTGTCTCTTATGATAGGTCCATAAATCGACTACAACTGAAGACGCTAACTAAGCATACTTGTTCTCAACATTGGAGGACTAGTAGGGTTAGGGCTGAATTCATTGCAGAGAAGTATAAGAGAACCATTAGGTGTAACCCCCAAGGAAGCTTAGGGAAATGCGGGCAACGATCAGGGAGGATATTGGCACGGATGTGTACCAATCTATTTGTGCAAGGGCAAAGAAACTAGTGCTTCAGAAGACTCAAGGGTGCTATGTAGATGAGTTTGGTATTCTTTGGACATATGCCGAGGAGATGAGAAAAGCAGATCCTGGAACAACAGTTAAGATCAAGGTTGATCGTCTCAACCCCGAGAACAAGCCTCTTTTCCAACACATGTATGTGGGTTTTGCTTCATTAAGGAGGGGTTTTTTACAAGGGTGTCGACAAATAATTGGCTTGGATGGTTGCATCCTAAAAGGATTATGCAAAGGGGAGTTATTGTTAGCAATTGGTCGTGATGCAAACGACCAAATGTACCCTATTGCGTGGGCTGTAGTTGAGGTGGAATCAAAAGATTCTTGGTCTTGGTTTCTAGAACTGTTAGCTTCTGATCTGAGTTTGGGAGAAGGTAGTGGTTGGAGCATCAGTTCTGAACCAACAAAAGGTTAGTAACCATTACACTTAAGTTAAGATTTCAGTAGTTACCAAGTAGTTTTTTTATCTTTGTGAAAGTAACAAGTTACTTTAAAATTTTACTTAATGATCAGGCTATATCCTTGCGCCATTGTGCACTCGTAGAAGCTGCACCCTCTAGTAAATGGTATAGGAATGGGAGTCATATTCCACTCTGCAGCAATTGAATATAACTGAATTAGAGATAAAAAGAAACAAATTCATAATTGAAATTAGCTGTGAGTTCATGATCAGCTTACTCTAAATTGTATAAGAATTACAGCTTCGAGATTCTTTTAATTTGACCAATGAGCTTTGTATCTTATTGCAGGGATTGATTCCAGCAATAGCAAGTCTTCTACCAGCAGCAGAGCATCGTCTTTGTGCACGACATATCTTTTGCAACTGGAGGAAGGTTCACAAAAATCTAGAATGGCATCCCTATTTTTGGGAATGTGCTAAGTCAACTACAGTTATGAAATTCAACCATGCTTATAAGAAGTTAGAGTCTAGAAATAAGAAAGCGGCACATGACATGGTTCGGGTGCCAAAAGAGCAGTGGTGTAAGGCATTCTTTTCAACCATGGTAAAATGTGACTCCGTCGACAACAATATTATCAGAGACATTCAATGCAAGCATAGTTGAGGCGAGGCATAAACCACCGTACAGCTTGTTGGATGATATACGCGTTCTCACCATGGAGCGGATTGCTAAAAAACAAGAGGCGGCTTCTAAATGGACTTCTCCATTTTGTCCGAAGATAATGAAGAAGCTCGAGACTAATGCAAAAGAAAGTAGGATATGTCGGATTGTGACTTGTGGGAATAATGAGTATGAGGTGAACCATGGTGACGAAAGATACAAACTGAGACTTGGAGCTGAGACGTGTTCATGCAGAGCTTGGGATTTGAGTGGGATCCGTTGTCCCCATGCTATCACGTGTCTTGTGTATGAGGGTAAAGATCCCGTGGATTACATTTCCAATTGGTACTCTGTGGCCAAGTACAGCGCCACTTACTCGAACACCATGCCAGGGATGGATGGACCAAGACAATGGGTGCCGGTTAATTTGGATCCGATTCAGCCACCCCCATTCAGAGCAATGCCTGGCAGGCCAAAAAAGAAGAGAAGGCTTTCCGTTGATGAAATATTGCAGAAAGACAAGAAAAACCCTCACAAGTTAAGCAGGGTGAATCGGATCATCTTTTGTTCAAAATGCAAACAATCTGGGCACAACTCACGTACTTGCCCAACAAAGAATGCTCCACCAGTGGTAAGTTAAAGTGAATTAAGTTCATTTGAATGGATGTACTGTGAGGATTTGTTTTAAGTACTACATGTCTTTGTTAAGTTGAAGTTGAAGAGTTCGGCATAGGATAACAAGAATAGCACCAATGTGTAAAGCATAGTGTTTAAGTGTTTTTTCACATACTTAATTCATTTTCAGGCTTGTGCAACTTCTGTTGGAGCATCGCAAGGACCTACTGGACCTTCTAATGGGACTGTTGCTCAAACTCTTACTATACCTGCTGGAAGAGGAAGAGGAAGAGGAAGAGGGAGAGGAAGCAGTAGGGGAAGGGGGAGATGAAGATGGTTACGTACTATTCTAGTGACTGAATATTATATAGTCTCATTGTCAGCTTTTTTTCAGATATTTCCTTTTGTCCTCTTACGAATATGAATGTCTGGTAGTGGGATTTTATATGTGGCTACAGTTCAACTTGCTAGAAACTCTAGGAAACAAGCATATATTACTGTGACCTATTTCCCATTTCAACTTCTTTGATAAATATATAATTTTTTTATATTGTGATATACATTTGATAGCGAGGTATTGCTTTATATCAATTGTGATAAAGGAAACGTAAGTGGGGATCGTTCATGGGAGTTATGGGTAAATATTGGGTTTTTTTTTGTAATAGGCGTGTGTTAAATTAATTTGGGGGTAAAATGGTCACTTAGGGGAATTTTATGCTGACTGGGTGCTTAGTCAGCGCCAAATCAGCAGCTAATGACCCAATTTAACGGAACTTTAACAGCCTGGTAACAGTAGGGATTTCGTTAGGAAAATTTTGATAAATCAGGGGCTACCATAGGAAAAATAATAGTACAGGGACTTCAATAGAAAACACCTTATAGTTTAGGGGCCACATATGCATTTAACTTTTTTTTTGGTAAAAGTTGGTTACAAAACAAGGGGAATAGACTAGCATTTGACATGTGTCATCATTCTAAAATACATCACCATTCACCACCTAACCCTTTGGCTTTTAATGTTATTTTAAAATAAAGAAAGTGAACTTAAAAAAATAAAATCCTCCACCCATCCAAGTTTCTCTACCGTGAGTCTGCTTCTCTTTCATCATCTTCCCCAACCTGCCTCTTCTTCTTCTTCCCTTTCACCCCCAACCTTAAGTTTCCAGAACTGAAATAATCTCCAACCTCTATGTTTTCATAACTGAAATATTCTCTTATAGACATATGAAACTTCATATCCATGATGTTCTACTAAATCCCAGACTCTAATTAAGTTGATTTCTCAATCCCTGTAAGAGTCCAATTTGCAGAGTCGTGAAGAATCGTCGGCATCTTCTTCGGCAACTCATTCCGATCTTCAATACCAGAGAGATATTATGCTTCCATCAACCGTTGTTCTTCTATTTTCAGAATCAATTTGTCTTTCCATTCATCTTTAGATCTCTATTTCATGTATCCCTTTCTTCGATGAACCAGTGAATTGTCTTCTGCCTCTCCGTTACTTTGGCTGGGATTTGTTTCAGATTTTGTGATTTTCATGATCTTTAGCCATCTACGCTTTCCTCTGTAAAACACAGTTTGCTATTTTTCCAGAATAATTCGCGCTCTGAAAAGTTAAAACTCGCGAATTATGCACGAATTCCCCACAATCCGCGTTCTTGCGCTCTAAAGCGGGAGCGTGGGCCAAGACCCACGAATTGTGTGACCTAAGTTCGTATCGATTCGGTTTGTATTGTTTATCATTATTCTTTGTCATTTTTAGTGACATTTTGTACGAAAGTATGTTTTGTACTGTTTGACGGTTTATTTTGTAATGTTTGTAAGCTTTGTTATTTTGTAATATTTATCGATTTCTTTTTTAATGTTCGTAAGCTTTGTTATTTTTGTACACAATTTTTATCATTTTTGTCAATCATGTTTGTAATGTTTTTTATGTCTAAAAAACAACATGGTTGACTTTTGAATGGAACTTCTCTATATAGGGATGAAGCCTTCAAAGTCAACCCGAGTGTTTTTCCAGTTTGTATGTTTTGTCGGTCTAGTTTGTCATTTGTGTCCACCATTTTCGTAATGTTTGTATGTCTAAAAAACAACCGGGTTGACTTTGAGAGGGAGCCCCTCTATATAGGGATAAAGCCTCCAAAGTCAACCCGGTTGTTTTTTCTTTTTGTATTGTTTGTCGGTGTAGTTTGTATTGCTTGTATATGTTTGTAATGTTTGTAAATCTGTTTGTATGTTTTGTCGTTCAAGTTTGAACTGTTTGTATGTTTGTACTGTTTGTAAGTCCGATTTTTATACTTCGTAATTTTTCATAATACCCAAATTACCCCTCCCACTAATTAAAAATCCCTTCCTTCTTTTTAACCGTTAGATTGAAGTATCCAGATCTAATGGCTAAGAGGGGCTTAGTCAAGTGACTAAGGACCCCCTTAGTCATGGGATCCGCACTCGTTTCCATGGTGATACTTTTTTGGGAAGAGACTTCTTTCCGCATAGGAGTCTGTCCAAACCTTGCCAAAATTGTAAAATGGTAACCCCGCCCACTAGGGATGGCAACAAAACCCGAACCCACGGGTACCCACCCGACCCAATCCGGTCAACGCGGGTAAAATCCGTGTTGACGGGTTTTGGGTCGGGTTCGGGTTCAAACCCGCTACACTATTCACCGGGTTGGGTTTGGGTTTAGGTAATTCCACCCCCCATTGGTACCTTCCCACACATATAATTACTTTCCCGGTATATTTAATATTATAAATAATATATCTTCTTTAAACAACTAATATTATTTATGTTTGTGGAGACATGTATAATTTGTTCTTTCTAATTATTTAGAATGAAGTTGATATTATGGAGTATTGGAGTGGAGATTGAAGAAACTTATGTGACGAGAAAGAAGATTTCAATTAATCTTGTTGTTTATAGATGTTTATCTTTAATTTTGAACAATTTGTATTGATTATTTGCGATTTGCTTGTATGTTCTAGATTGGTATTTTTTATATGAATAATTTGTATGAGAAAATTGATGTTAATCTTTGATTTTGAAAGAAATTTGTTATTGTAAATTTTTTACCACAAAAACCCACGGGTACCCAGCGGGTTGGGTTGGGTTTGAGTTTTTCAAACCCAACGGGTTTTACCCCGGGTTTTTTGGCGGATAAACCCATGGGTTTGAGTTTGACAAAACCCGCCCCAACCCGGCCCATTGCCATCCCTACCGCCCACCGGCTCAATACGGTGCATATGCACCCATTAGTAATTAAATCTGGACACTTTATTCAGGAAATTCAGATCTAAGGGTGGAGAATTAAAAAAAATTATTTGTCTTTTGTTTTCTTAATCAGCTCATATCTTCTTTGTTTAACTCGGATTTTTTTCCCACAGATGGAACGAGTACGTTGTGATCTACAAAATGAGATCCATTTTCAATATTTTTTAGAAATCTTTTTTTCGTGCCTCGCGGTACCAACTACATACCATATGGTATCTTCTTCGTTTTTGAAAATTTTCGCAGAGAAGGAACGAGTTCATCATGAGCTATTGGATCTACAAATTTCTGGGTGAACAATATACATGACCAAAAAATACCACACAATACCACCATGGTACGGGGTGGTATCTTGTGGTACACAATGTTAAAAGTCGTAAATGACAGTTAATATACTTCTACTATCATGTATTTAAATATCCTACAGTCTTGGTTTGTTCATACCACCATGGTATGCTTTTTTCATACCATATGTATGCTCTTATTTCAATACCAGTCAATACTATATGGTTTAGACCGGTAAAAAATGACTCAATATTTTTTGCTCCAAAAATATATCAAAGTGGATATTATTTTGAAGAGCACAATTAATCTGATCTAACTATGCAAATTTTTTTTTTTTTACTTAAAACAAGTGAGAAATCGTTCGTTAAAGATTAAGGGAAAAATTAAAGGCTTTTCAGGAAAGAGAAGGGGCGCTGATGTGGCGGATTCTGATTGGGTTATGCATAGTTATTGACCACAAGGTTATTGACTGGATTCGCTCCCGCCCACCAGACTCTCTAGATTTTTTATATCTGGTAGGGGTGCTCAAAAGGAGTGGTGACCATGGTAATCATTTCAACCGGTAGTATTTAGATAATTTAGTTTGGTTAATTAGGATAATTAATTTGGTTTGGTTAAGTTTTTTTAGATTATTTGGTTTAAGTGGTTTGGTTTCATACACTCCTAACCAATCAAACCAAATTAATCAGTTAAGTAATTAGTCATATATCTAATATATATTATATAGACATACTTAATACTTTGCATAACCATTCGAGAGTCGAACGTTCCTTCCTTGTAGCTCATAAAAAAAGAAAGCTCAATATTGTTCCTATATTGTATATTTGTATTTGTAGAGCGTAGACCACAACATCTAGATGTCTAATTTAAATAAAACTCATACATTATGTTGAATGTAAACTTGAAAGTAATGTCTTTTTCAGCCTATGGTTATTTCTAAGAAACTAAATCAATTCACACAAACACAACAATCCATTAACCTCATACCATTGACATGTATTATTATTAGGCGAATACTTCTATTGACTGCAAGATAGTTGCATTAGGTGCATCTATTTATGTTAACGGTTAACTTAACTATGTATTGATGGTTATGTTTTATTCATTATATAATTTTGAATTTGTGTATTAACTGAGATTTTTCTCCCTTAATGATAATGTGATGTTATATTGGTTAATCTAGTTAACCAATTAACCAAACTTATTAAAGTTTAGCTTGGTTAATTTGGTTGTTGTATTAGTTTGGACGGTTTGGTTATGAAAAATACATAACCTTGAGAAAACTTGAAGCCCCGTTTCAAATTTCCTGCATCCAGAGTGAAAGTAGGAAGGGTAGATTCGTCTTCACAATCACTTATTATTTTCTTATTTACATAAAAAATACATCAATAATGAGATTTGAACCGTCATCTCTTCGAACAAAGATAAGAAACATAACCAGTTACAATAAAAACATTTGTGTGATTTTTTTCAATTAAAAACATACATTAATTTTAATATGAAAAAATATAGGACTTTTCCACCACGTTTAGCAACCGAAATGTCATTGATTCAAATATTACATATCGAATTGCACTGTTGAATGTGTAGAAGCGATGTAGAATTCTTAACATAGACTTAATTGTTATAACTATCATAAAGTAACGATATTTTTAAACACAGAACTTTTGAGTGAATATGGGCACATGTGTATTTAAGAGAGGGGTAAATATGAAAAGGTTGAGTGATGTTGGTTTGTCGAATGCAGATGGAAAAGACACTACTAATGTAAACGGATCC